CCTAAATGCCGTAGAAGCAGATCCTTCAAAAACTGTGAGGAAATTGGCTGCCCAATTTAATTGCCTAAAATTTACGGTTCTTAGAATCCTAAAGAGAAACAATTGCGTCCTGATCACCTACAGAAAGTCCATGCACTTCTTCCTGTAGACTTTCTGCGAAGGAGGGAATTTTCAAACTGGGGTACAGAAACAATGCAAATTTCATCAGTTCAATACTGTTTACGGACGAAGCTGGATTTTGTAAAAATGGAATCATAAACTCCCATAATTAGCATTTATGAGCAGAAGAAAATTGACATGCTTCTATTGTGACGCATCATCAGCACCAGTTTGAACCCATTAACTTATGGGCCGGAATCATCGGGCAACATTTCATTTGGACCATTTACATTGCCTAGAAAGTTAACTGAGGTGCTTTATTTGGAATTTCTCTAAGACAACTTGCCAGAACTTTTAGACGACCTACCTTTGACAATACGACATGGTATGTGGTTCATGCATGATGTAGCACCACCCTATTTTAATATGGCAGTTTGAGAACACTTAAAGTTTTTGAAAACCGTTGGATAGGAAGAGGAGCACCAGTAACTTGGCCTCCTCGATCACCAGATTTAAATGCATTAGATATTTTTAACGGGAATATTTAAATAGTCTATGCCAATCCAGTCGACACTAGGGAAAACTTATTAGAAAGGATTAATTTCCATTGTCGTGAAATAAGGACCAATGTTGCAGCATTATGGAATATCCAACAATCTGTAATACGCAGAGCTAGGGAATGCATAACATTAGAAGGAGCTCAAGTTGGACCGACAAACAAAATTATGTAATAAAAATCATATTAAACAAAAATAGTTTTTTCTCGAAAACAGTTCATTTTATCGATATCAACCAAGAGTGCCTTTTTTCAGTTTAAGGTTCAAACTGTCCAAAAATATTATTTTTGTGTCTTTATAGTAGAGGGTGTAAAAAAAATTGACATTATTGTGCTACAGCTAGTCGGTCCCTGGCAAACCAAATAAGCCAAATTGTTTTCATGGGCCAATTCTTAAGAAGTCTTATCTGTTATGCATCGTATTAAAAAATAGTTAAATTACACAAAGTAATTTAAAAGTTAAAAAAAATTGATTTTCAGGGGCATCCTTTGTATCTCCGTAGCGGGGCCCTCTAAGGAAAATTTTTATAGGAACTTGTCATGTTATTTTAACGTCCCCTGTATAAATCCGAGGGGTTGCCCACATATTCTGGGACACCCTGTATACGTTCAGCGAGTCTAAGATCATGAATCAATTGCTCAAATGTCTCTGATAACTTCAAGTCAATCTTCCAGTGTACCTACCTGTACTTGCATATAAGTAACTAGTCCATTTTTTATAAAGGAGGATATAAAAAAAATTGGAGAAGAAATGCTCTGTAGAAGAGAGGCAGTGAAAGTAAGAATACTTTATGTATGCTGCAAGACAAGTTTTATAAAAACGTATTTTTATGTACAACTTTATTATACTTCCTATACGTAGTGGTTATCTTTTATAATTTTTGTAACTTTTATAATCTGTCATTGTTAACTGTTTGTTTACTCTTGTACTTTAGTAATATGATTTTGTTAATGCATCTATTTTCATTAACTATTTCTCCCAGCTATTAATTTTTTTTAACTGTCAAGTGGTGTAACTTAAATAAATAAATAAATAAATAAATACTTGCAAATTACCCTTTATTTATAAAAATTAAATATATATTTTAGTTCTTGAACTTTTAAATTCCAACTAACGCTTCTGCTTAGTGAAAGTTTCTATTTATGAATGTTAATGCATATTTTTAATGCATCTAATAACAATGGTAATATTTCCTATTAACGTTGAGACTAACGTCGAGAAAAAGTTTTAATAATAATAATATGTAGATAAGTTTACAAGTGCAGTTTGAACTTATGTACAAACTGAATTAGTTCGGGATCACCTCTGGAAATAAACGTTATACGTTTATATATTCCCTTGAACTTAGGTTCACTTTCGATTTTTTGTTATATAACCTATTTATAGACAAGCACATAAATGCATACTTACTGACGCTGTATGGTTTCCAGTAAGGAACGCTTTCTATGCAGTTGAAATTATGCAAATTATGTTATAGTTTGATGATTTGAAAGATGATTCATTTTGCTAATAACCAGGAAGTAATAAGATACCGATGTAGGTAGTGATAATCTCGGAACTGCGTTGTGTTATTCATCCACTAAATTGGGATATGGTCAGTAGCAAACAGTAGATAGTAGATAACCAAACCCGTCTGCCGCCTCTTAAATAACGGTATGATAAATAATCAAGTGTGTAATGAATTGACGCGTATGTCAGAATTAGAAATAAACACATGTTAGCTCTTATTATAGATTCCATTACAATACAGACTCGAATCACTTGAGATGTCAATTACTATTAATAACTAATTAAAATTCTTGGTAATTGGAAATGTAGTTTTCATTTCAAATTTTTATTGACTAGTTAAAAATATACCTACACTTTTCACACTTATTCACTGTGGCAGATACACTAAGTATAGGAATTGTGGTGAATGATATATTTATTATAAGTTATGATAATTTTGCGGTGATCATAAGATGTAATGAATAATTATTATGTTTTAATTCAAATTTCGTCTTCGCTGTTTACATGAAATTTTAAATAAAACTAATTTCATGTCTACTTTGGATATTAAAAAAAATAACTTAAATCAGTACGAACATTATTTTTGCAAATATGACATACGTATACAAGGGGTGCTGTAATTACGTATACAACGAAAGACTTTCTACTCGAAATCGTTTCTTTTGGTCCCGAAATGGCATCAAAGTTCCTGCAAATTTTTTGAATTTCTTAAATACTTGATTATTTCTTAGTCCTGAGCTTTTGCAAAACTGTCACATTTTGGTATTAAGCAGAGTGGTTTTTAAAGCTTACAACTGCTATAAAATGAATATATGGTAAAAATGTAATTATACATATTATACAGGGTTAGTCAAAAGTATGGAAACCCCAAAAAGTCTCAGCGGGAAAGCATTTTTGGGATAAATGATGAGGACAAAAGTCTCAGCAGTAGCATTCTTCACGGTGCATCTGATGGTAACTGACCTTGAAGTCAAGGTCAAGGTTCAAGGTCATATTAAGATCAAGTCGGTTTTTTTAAATAGCTACCCTCTTTTTCGAACCCGGAAATGGAAAGAGCAGAAAATTTTGCATCCGAAAGACATTGATCCTAACCCCAAGGTCAATGGTCAAGATCAGTTCAAGGTCAAATGTTCATTTTTACTGTAATTTTTTTATTTTTAACTATGGAATCAGAAAGAGTGACAGTCTTTGAGTAGACACCTGATGGTACTCCTTGACCTTGAGGTCAAGGTAGAAGGATTATGTCAAGGTCTTATCGGTTTTGGAGTAACGAACCTTTATTTCGACGCTAGAAATAAGAGACCGTAGAATTCTACACGTTATTATGATCCTAAACGTGACCTTAAGTCAATGATCAAGGTCAGGTAGAGGCCAAGTGATTACTCCGGTTGTTGTGTTTTATTTTCGACGATGGAATAGAAGGGATACAATTTTAGTGACCTCAAGAGTTGGACACTTCGAGAAGCTCTCTACAAAGTTGAATTGACTCAAGAACTGAAGCCTACTGACCACGCAAAGCGAAGAGAGTTCGTTGAATGGATTCTTCGAAAATGCGGCTGGTCAGGCAATAGCAGTTAATGGCGCTCGCTATCGAGACATGAGAATCCATTTTTTGTGCCTAAATTGCAAGACATTTATTATGTAGACTACATGTGGTTTCAACAAGACAGTGTCACATGACATACAGCCCGAGAAACAATTATTCAATTATTGCGTTTTGGTGATCAGAATTGGCCGCCAAAATCATGCGATTCATAGACTTTTTTAGAAAATTTCGGAAAAAGAGTACGTGTGCACCAGAAAACTGTATATTTTATGAGTCAATAACAAATTTACATTTTATAATTAAAAACCTGTGTTTCTATCAAAATTACTTTACACCTTTTATAATGACTAGAGTTCGGGGTTTTCGTCGGCTAGTCATAGGCATGTTCGTCATAAACAAATAAATGAACGGGTAGGTGTAAAAGAGAGTAAATAAATTTGCGTATATTATCAGCGAAAGGTCGTTTTTTGAATATTATTAGAATATTAAAACACATATACACGAAGCAAACGCGTAGCCAATAACTGCCGTTATTACCGGTTTCGTACGGTGCGCTGTAACGAAAGGCACACGTGACGGTTATGATCATCCGACCGAGTCCCGAGCTCTAATAATGACAAATAATTTTCAGTTCATAGCTGACACTTGGAAGTTTTTTCTCTTATATAATACTCATTAAAAAAGCAATTAAGCTACTTAGAAATAGTTTTTAAATGTCTACATATCTTGCCGTATACCTATACTACAATAGCTAATTAATTGCTAGTAGGCAATGCCAACTCCTCAAAAATAATTAGAATTACTCAAGTTATTTAAAAAAATAAAAGTTTTTAGGAACTTTTCGGACTATCATATTTCGGATACTTAGAAATAAAACTTTTAGGTAAATTAATAAAAACTTTATTTTTAAAAAATATATTATAAGTATTCATATATAAACACTTACGTTTTGTTAATTTAAAATTATGTGTATTCACTTTATTTTATGTGGATCAAATTAGTGTATAATAAATAAATAAATATATTAACTTTACTTTTTACACATAATATTTAGACTTCGAAATAAATAATTGTATGCAGATAATAATTTATAACACATTATAATAAATAGTTATTCCTATAAAAACTAGTTTGAGGAACTTCAATCATAATACTGATTTTAATATTATTGTAAAAGGTTCTTATCAGATGTATTGAATAGATCCAGTTTTGAAACCAATTTTAATTAAAAAATGAATTAATGAAAAGCTATAAACTGATTTTTCCAAAAAAAAAATCATGTTTAGTTAATTTTTTATTAAATTTTATTGTTTTCATGCAGAACATACAATTTTTTATTGTTTTATATGTAGAATATTAATTTATATACAGAGCTGTTACAATCGGTCCGCTAGCCATTGGTGCCGCACTATCGGCCAAACGGCATTTTTTTATGTCAAAATCAAATATCTTGAAGAAGAATTAACGAATCGTTTTACATTTTTTTTTAATTAAAGCTTATTTGATGCAGATTTAGGGAAAATTATTGTGAATGTCATCATCCCCTATTTGGGGGGCGAAAATGAAGAGTGAATAGATGAAGAAATTGAAAATCGATTGCCTTCGTTCAAAAATCTTATATCTTCGATAAATACAGTGAAATTAAGACACATTTTGGTGGAATCAATGCTCAATTGAAACAAGTTAAGGAAAAATTAATGAAAATATTTTCATCCCTATTTTAGGGATGGAAAATTAAAGAAAATATGCATAAAAAGTTTTTGTTGTCGCTTAACACAAATAAAAGCATCACTAAAACAAAAAACTCCTTTTGAAGAGCTGTTTTTATCATCCCCTGATTTAGGGGAAGAACTGAGAGGTGGGGGATTGAATAATAAAATTCATCTGAAATATTACCAGAGTGTTTCAATTCTCTGATTCATTCATTTTTCCTTAACTTGTTACAATTAAGTATTGATTCTACCAAAATGTGTCTTAATTTCGCTGTATTTATCGAAGATATAAGATTTTGAAGCCACGCGACTTGCCTAGGTGTCGGTTTCGCCGATTTCCCTCTAATCGAACGATTTCATTTACGATTTCAGTTCTTTTTTTTATGCATAATTGTGTGTAATCATGTCGAGCGTAGTTAGTGCTAAAAAAGAACAAACAATTCATACTATACTGACTAAAAAAAAGAAACAAATTTACTGGTAAGAAGCTATAACATTATTAACGTATAAAAACTATTCAGGTGCAAAACAAAACAAAGATATATTTTTTAGAATAGAAAAGAATTTTATGAAAGCAAAGTAGATTTTTTAATTATGCAGATATTACATCAGTAGATGTCGAATGGTCGTTCTCCTCAGATTAAGATATTTTACCACCGCCGCGAATAAGTTTCGCTGAAATAAGGGTAGAAACATACCTGATGATGCGATCTATAACGGATACCATCCAGATTGTAGAACCGATGAGAACGATGCATAAAACAATTTACGTGTTTCACAATAATGTAATGACATAAATCTTATAATCATTATTAATCACATTATTTTATGTCGACGATCCGTACGCCTTTGGTGCGCGGCCAATTATAACAGCTCTAGAAATAACAATTTCTGTGATACTTAAATGTGAAATAATGAATTAGTACTGTTAGAATTTTATCAAAACACTCATATATTTACCACATACTGATTATTTATAGCATTTTCTAAAAGAAACACATTGCAATGAAATCAAAGTGTCGATAACGGAATGAAACTTCCGGTTTACATATGCTGTGAAACAAAAGTATGAAATATGAGGGAGCTAGAACGTTTACAGTCGTGGACGAAAAAAAGATTCCCATGTAAAAGGTCTAAACCATGAAAATGAAAAGCCCCCATCTATAAACGATTATAAACCATCTTCATAAGTCGTTTCAGACAAACTAAGTACTTGGACTCACAGTTGGTTTTGGTTTTTTGTGACTCTGTGTTACGTTCAGTGACAGCAAATTCTGTTCTATTTCGGATTTGATCCACGGTAGGAACGGGGTTATGTTCGTGTAGATTCCGGGAAATCCCTCCATTGCGCATCTCGACATCCCGAAACTCACGACGCCCGCAACGTACCAAGTTTCATTGTCATCGGCCATCATCAGCGGGCCTCCTGAATCTCCTACGCAGCTATCCTTGCCGCTGACACCTCCGGCGCAGATCTGGGTGTCTTTGACGTCTATATTTGCTGTAGCAAACTTTTTCTTGCACTTTGCTAGGTCGAAAGGGGGTACTTCGACCTTCATTTTGATCTTGCTGACTAGCGCTGAAAATTTTAATGTTTGTAATTTTACACTGCGAAAGAATACAGAAGGTAGCTACAAACAAAATGGTAGGTGTACGGTGCGTTTTATTTTTATTTCTTCACCGGTTTCTCTAAAATGCCTCCTTGTGTAGTTAGAGTCACTTTTAACCAATTTGTAAAAATAATTTTTTTTAAATTTTATTTTGTGTGTCATTTGTTTTCTAAAATTGTCCAGAAAATTTTACATTACTGCAAAGAGAATGAAATTATCTTTTAAATGAAGTATCACAAATCATACTGTACAATATAAGAAAAGGGGGGACCCTGGAGTGGGTCCCTGTGGGGGGTAGGTTGGGGGGTAAATGTAAACATTTGTTTACACGTCAAAAAATGACAAAAGGAATGTGTTTTCTGAAGTACATCTGAACTTTACCTAAAACTCACTATTAAATCTAGATATCTAGATCTAGAGCTGTTCCGTGACTCTAAGGATACAAATGTATTAAACTTTCAAAAAAATGTTTGTTCTCTGTAAATTTGTGATGGGACTTTGTATAACCATATTTACATGTAAAATAATCACAACATTTCACCAACTAGTTTTTTTTTCCGGAAAATATGGCACTATATAATTATAATAGTTAGGTACCGAAAACGTAGAAAATGAGAAGAGTGAAAAAAGGTTCTAAATGAAATGTAGTATTAAAATATATTTTTCTTGTTGGAATTAGCTAACGTAGAAAAAAAATCTAAGACAAATAAAACCAAGGGGTGCTAATTTAATTAATTAAAAGTCATATACCAGAAAAAACGACTACCAAAATACATTCAGCTAGTTGTTAATTTGTATCAAAATTCAAATTTCTAAGTTCAACAGTTTTCGCGAAAAGAAATAAAAGCTAACTTTTTCGGCCATTTTGTGATTCGAATAAATGGGGCCTCAAAAAATTTATTTTCCGAAAATATTTCCGAAATGGGTTGAAGGAAAATTATGAATTTTGACACCATGAACGCTCATTAAAAATTCGAAACAGATCATCATAAAATTTTTCAAAAATGTTGATCAGGGGCGTCTCAATTGGGGGGTTGTCGGCTAAAATTTTGCCCCAATTTTTTTGCTTGTCGAAATTTTCAAATTCAGAGGCCAACATATGATAGACCTTTTGCTCTACAAAAAAAAGTACTCTTTATTTCTTTCGATAAAATGCTCTATTTCCAAGAAAAACGAATTTAAGTGCTTAGAAAAGCACACTTTGGAAAATGTTATAACATATTTAACTCGATTTTTTTCGAAAACAGATTACCTTTTCGATGTAAAACAACATTACCATTTTTAATAGAAAACTCAGATCTCAAATTTACAGTTTAAATTTGAAAATAGCAGCATGTAAAATATTTGGGGTAAATTTTCCAAGAACTTTTCACGCTGTTTATTATAATGTATAATGACTTTATGACATATTAAAATAATGGTACATGTATCCATTTTAGCTATTTAAGAATTTTTTTTGGATTTTATTAATGTATGTATACGAAATACTTAGATCCGTTTTTCTGGGAAATGGAGCATTTTGTCGAAATAAATAAAGAGTACCTTTATTGTAGAGGAAATGAGGGTCTATCATATATTGGCATCTGAATTTGAAAATTTCGACAAGCAAAAAAGTTGGGGCAAATTTTAACCTAACCTAACCTAACCTAACCTAACCTAACCCCCCACAATTGAGACGCCCCTGACAAAAATTTTAGAAATTTTTTATGATGATCTATTTCGACTATTAATGAAAGTTAAAATTCATAATTTTTATTCAACCCATTTCGGAAATATTTAAAAAAATTTATTTTTTGAGGCCCCATGTTTATATGAAATTTTTTTTTATTTTTGGCAATAGAATCAAGTGGTAAATTATTGGATATTAATTATGAGGCATTCTGTATAAGCCACTATTGTTTTAATATACAGGGTAATTAAAAATTCAGTACAAAGAATTTAGGGGCGTATTTTTGAGGTCAAAATAAGACTCTTTTTTTTTCTTGTAAACGTGGGTCCACAAATGCTTAGTTTTTGATATACAGGATGTTAAAGTTTTTAATTTTTTTTTTATTTTTTAGGAATAATTTCCAAAATTTAAATGTTGGTATAAAGCTTCGGGGACGGGGGTTTTCTAGGATGCTAAATTTAAATATGTCATTGTTTTTGACGCTGCTTGTAGAGGGCGCCACTTATAAGGGCACGCTTGAATTAAATTGGCCCTAACTTTTTTGCTACCCTGTACATTGACGTTTCGTATTAGTGCGTTTATTCCCCTATCAATTTTAAGTAAAAAAGGTATACTTGGTTGAAATCTCTCAGGCTAACCGTTTCCGAGATATTGGCTGATTAAGAGTTAAATGCACATCAAATCAAATTTTATTAACTATCTATCTTGAAAAAATTTAAAATTTATTCACCATCTAATCAGTGATGCAATGATCTTGAATTTTATTTCTTTACATTTTTTTCATACAGCTAACCATTTTCGAGAAAATCACTGCTGACTAGTGACAATACTACCGTTTAATCGATCTATATTACATAAAAATAAATTGCTTCCAACTTACCTTTTTCAGTCTTGCCCCATCCACTTAAAAAGTATTTAGCTGGAATTTCACTACTGTTCCTTAATACGCAGATAGGTTGAACGTATTCTAAAAGAAATGAATTCAAATGAACACATCTGTAGGAAATTAAAAGATTGAGGTTATATGCACGCAGATAAATATGGAATATTTTGGATATTGCATATAAAAACTTGTGCGGTTAAGAAGGGTTAAAAATGTTGCTATGAATATATATATATATTGAAATGAAACCAGATTAATGGGATAAAAGTAAAATTTAAATTTAAATCGTTATGTAAAAGACAAAGTGGCAAAATCAATGGTTGGAATGATTATAATAAAATTTATGATTGAGTTGATTATCATGTTAGTAAATAGATAGAAAATAAGTTAGAATAAGAGGTAATAAATGATATTAAAAATGAAAGACAATTTGTAGATGAATTAAAATATATGTCAGAAAAATGTCAAATTTAAAGTAGAATACACAAGGATTCTGTAGTTATTAGAAAGGGCAAATAATATGAGAAAATAAAAAAATATTTTGAAGTATAAGATAAAATTGAATGTAAAGAAAGTAGAATAAGGTGTATAAGTGAATAAGAGAAAGTGAAGTGAAGTGAATTATAAGAGTAAAAGGACACGTTCAAAGATATGTGGAAAGGCCTTTAGAGAAAAAGAAAAAAAATCAAGATAGTAAGAAAAGAAGAGGATTTATTGATTAGTTACAAAAAGAATTTTGAAAACGACAGTTGTTAAAAGTAAGAAAAGAAAAC